GAAAATTCATGAGGACCGATAAAAAATGACACAAAATCTCACCGGGGGCCGGGTTGGGGTTCTATCGCGGCGCCGACACCGTGGTCTGCCGTTTGTTCCTTCTTTTCTGGCGACACTTCCGCTTAGTCACACCAGTTAAGTCCAGTTAAAGACAGTAGGCAGGAAGGCCTTTAACGAGCCAATTCTGTCTTTTTTCTATTTCTTTCATTTTTCATATAAAAAGCTTTCAGATTTGAAAATTATAAGGTGAATAATCTACTTTGAATAAGCAATACCCTGAACACACTCACAATTTTCTCGTGTACACATTCAAACACACCAAGAGAGAAGAAGACAGAGACCTGTGGTAGAAATGAAATATTGGATGAAGAAGAGAAGCTGTTTGCATGGCTGCCTGCTCTACTTGAAACTCTTCTGGGAGACTATCCTGGTTTGCTAGCACATTCAAGACTCAAGTTGTTATGAAGGCCCTGGTATAACACAACAATCAGCCGCAAGAATTTCAACTGTTTTAACATAAAAATATTTATAAATATTAAACACAAACTGCTTGTTAGTCTATCCACTGTTCTGAATGCGAAAGAAAAGAAAGTTATTTTCCATCTGTAGAAGTATTCACAGCAATACCAAGTTATAAATAGTTACAAAAAGCCTAAATTGTGAAGGATGAATTCCTTCTCAACCAACCAAACTCTTACAAAAGCTGACCAAATTGTATGCCTGCAGGACATTTGCACAATAAATTTCAGCCTCCATTGTCGTCTTCGAAGTAGTAATGAATCAAATAATCCCCGAGAACAAAAAAATAAAAGCTCGTAAAAATTACACCCAATCTAGAAACAAACTTGGTTTCAAGCCTACAGGTAGCTTTCCAACTAGAATGTGACAAATCTTCATCCTACTAGTTATAGCCTAAGTAACAAAAGTAACGCATCGAAAATAACACAAGTCCATTATTTCAATTTCTTGGAAGGAAATTGATTATAGAGCTGCCCATGTGGAACTAGAACAATTCGAAAATGGTAAATCATCAAACAGGATGTCTTAGAAAACGAATAAAATTCAAACCTGGTGAAGAATCCGGCGACTTGCAGCGGAATTTGGCTACCGCAGTCCTCTTGTAGAGCTCGTCGGAGGTGATTGCAAGGCACAGTGTTGGATTCAATGGGTGCGAGGCACACAGAATCGGCGCCCAAAATTCCTTTTGCTGCTGCTTCTTGTTGATTAGATATCACTGCCACTTGAGAGAAGGAGAGGAAGCAGTAGCCTGTTTGGAGACGATCTGGGAATTGACTGACTGAGAGACGCTATTGGTGTTGCTGTATAACAAATTGCAATCCTAAGAGCTACCTCAGAGTTTACTTGTAATGAGCGAATTAATGCTGAAGTCTTAGATTTTACTAATCGTTAACGATATCGCGATTAAAGTTTCCTTTGGCAAGCTTGTCCTCACCAGTTAACGATCGTCTTCTTCGCAGAGCACATCCATGAAGGGAGAACAGAGAGGGAGACTTCGTCGCAGCTGCTGATCGGATGTAGCAAAATGCAGCAGCTTGGTGCGGGAGGCTGGGGGAGGGGGAATTGGGAAGTATTATCTGGGCTTTGGGGTGTCTGATTTCTGATTTTCTAAAAAATACATTAATACTACGCTTGGGTAAATAATTTTTATTATTATTATATATAGAGAAAAATAAATAAGCTATAATTATTTATGTTAATATATGATTTATTTAGTTAGATAGAGTCTAGTAAATTTTAGTTATAAATAAAATAAAATATACTATTTTTTAGAAAATAATATATAAAATTTTTATGTAATAAATATATATTTGTTTCTATTTAGAATTTTAATAGATATCAAATAGTGATAAATATATATTTTGTGTTGATTACTAGTTACACATAATGAAAATTCAAATAACAAAAAAAAATTCCATCTATATAATAGAAAAAGTAAAAATATATAAAGGGATATGCATATTATAGTTGAAAAATGTATTATGATTATATTAAATAATTAGTATATTATTATTTTAATTCTAAAAATATTTTAAAATTAATTATAATAGTATTAATTTTAAATTATATAAAGCCCCTATAATTATTTTCTTAAATTAAAAAAGGGATATATAAAAATATTTTTTTCTTGATATTCTTGAAACAGTCAAATCATCACGTGAAGAAAAATAAATATTATTACAATAATATCCATAAACGAAAGGAGCTTCTCTTTTACCTAAAAGCCTTGATAAACATCAAAAAATAAATAAATATAAATTTGAAAAAATATCCTTGAAGGAAGCAGACCCGTATCATTTAATACAACACACTCACCCATACATTGCTCTTTCTAATTTTTTCTCGAGATCCAAGCACCTGCACCGTGCGGGCTCAAGTTCAGGGATCACGTCCTGAGCTCGAAGGTCTCTTCGTTCATTTCATTTTCAGGCTCAAGTTCAGTGAACCAAACAGCAAACAGAGTATCTTCATTTTCAGGCAATAAAAAAATGGAATCTCTTGGCGCCTTACAGACGTCTAGTAATACTCTTTTCCGGAAGCAATTTAGATTCCCTCCCTGTACTGCTTTACCTCATATTACTTTCTTGAACCGGAGGAATCCTTTTCCTTACCGAGATTGGGACCGAGTAACTAGTTCGCGGAGACGTTCGCTTTGGGTGGTTACTGGTATTTCTGCTCCAGAAATGAGGTATTTCTTTTTTATTTTTAGTTTCTCTTATCCTCGTTTTTCATGCACCAGAGCTATAGAGTTTCGGTATTTGTCTAATCTTATCTGTTCTGCTTGCTTCTGTGACATATTTGATGTTAGGAAAACGTGAATGGATTTTGAATTATGTGCTTGATTTTGGTTCAAACATTTTGGTGGATGAATGATGATTAAAGCAAGCAAAAGCAATTTTAACGAACAACTGTTTTCTTTTTTTGAAATAACAAAAAAAGCACGTAAAACTGCAATACAAAAAGTCATTACTCCTGGAAGCAATAAAAAGTTGAAAAACAATGATAGTTTAATAGAAGAAAACAATTTTAACGAACAACTGTTTTAAAGTTGATGCCAATAATCCCGTTTTCTTATATGATTACGCTAGACGTTCTCTGGTTTTAGTGATGGTGTGCTTTTGTAAGGTTCACTATGTTTTTTTACTGCTGCTCGATTGCTGATGAAGAGAAGAAACGGATGTTTTGATTTTTGATGAGAAATAGGGAGATAGCAGCTTATTTGAGGGTAGCTAACTCATGCATCGGGCATCCATTGGTGGAAATCTTTTGCTATATTTTTCTCTTTTATTTAAACTTTTCATGTGAAAATTGTTAAATAAAATGCCTAATGCTTCTTTGGAAATGCTTACAAGAAAGTGGATGATACAATTATCTTTTCTTGCCAGAGAGGAAGAGAAGAAGAAGATGAAAAGGAAATCGAAGTCGGTTGGGGAAAAAGTGCAGTTGAACATTAGGCTGGACCACCAAGTTGAGTTTGGTGAGAGGGTTGTGATTTTGGGGTCGTCCAAGGAATTGGGATCATGGAAAAAGGAGGTGCCAATGGATTGGACAGAGAGTGGATGGGCGTGCAACCTTCAGTTGAAAGGGGGAGAATCCATTGAGTGTAAGTTTGTCATTGTGACAAGGGATGAAGCTATGATATGGGAAGGTGGTGACAACCGTGTCCTGAAGGTACCGAAGGGGGGGAACTTTGGATTGATTTGTCACTGGAATGCAACATCGGAGGCTATGGAGTTGTTGCCTTTGGTTTCTGAAGAAGAAGTGGAGGATCTAGTTGGCAATGATGAAAATGGATCTGCAGAAGCTGCGGCTAGTCTTACAGAGGTGGAGACAAGTCCTTTTGTTGGGCAATGGCAAGGAAAGGCTGTCTCATTCATGCGTTCAAAGGAGCATAGAAATAGAGAATCTGAAAGGAAATGGGATACTACAGGTCTTGAAGGTTTAGCTCTAAAGTTAGTTGAGGGTGATCGTAGCGCAAGAAATTGGTGGAGAAAGGTAAGCTCCAGTTACTAACGTTTTTTCAAGGATAGGGAAATCAATTCTGTGATCTTACACCTTGTTGTATATTGAGTTTCTCATGATTACTCAATTCTATATGATCCATGATTTTCTGCATTTATTGCAGTTATGAATATCTTCTGCTTAACTGTTTCGTTCAAAAGCACTGCATTTTCAGTTTGATTTCATTACTCTATAGTGATTACACTTTTTTAGCTCTTAATCTTTGGCAACTCATGCTTGTAAGTTTATCAAACAGAGTCCAATTATCTAGGGTTTTGTTATTTCGATTATGCTTCTCCTTTGTCTTTTAACTAATTTGATTAGTCTGGAGCTTGCAAAAATAGAAAATATTCTCATTTTGAAAAAAATGTCTATGATCTCATTCTTACTTGAGAGATGATACAAAATTTAAAAAATGTCCTCATATTTAGTCATTACTTAATTTCAAGTATTAAATTTTTTCATACTTTCTGCTTTGCTATTGATATTCTTTCTGTTTGTACGTTTGGTGGAAGCTTGAAGTCATACGCGAGCTAATAGTTGGCAGTCCTCAAGGTGAAGAGCGGTTGGAGGCATTGACATACTCTGCTATTTACTTGAAGGTCTTTCCTGCATAATATTGTTCTTTTGTTTTTGTTATTTATTCTTTTGTATCTGATGTTTTCTTTCCAAGCAGTGGATAAACACAGGGCAGATTCCTTGTTTCGAAGATGGAGGCCATCATCGACCAAACAGGCATGCTGAAATTTCTAGACTTATCTTCCGTGAACTGGAAAAAATTTCCTGCAGGAAAGATCCTTCACTTCTGGTAGTTTCTAATATCATATAACTCCAATTTTTTTTTCAGGTGAAAAATAGTAATTGTCTGTTCAGAATCTAGGATACAATAGATTTTCTAGAAACTGTTTTCCAAAGTTCAATTCATATGGTCTTACCTTTTGCTGAATTTTATATGCCAGTTGCTTTCAACCATATCTTTAGGGAATATAACAAGATATAAATAATTTTGTTTAACTTTTTAATTTAGAAATCCACAGATCTGAATGAAGTCCATCCCATTAAGTTAGAACCCAATGCAAACATGTTTGCAACTGAGAATGCAGCTTTCTCTTGATGAGTAAAGATGTTATTGCCCCGCAGAACTTATTGTTGCTTTCTTTTATGAATGGACATCATATGGTAGTGTTAGAGACCCTATGTTTTTTGTTTAAGGATAACTGTCTTTTTTATGTTGGGGACCATGAGACCTTATATGATACATTTGATCCACTTGAAAATCCTTCTTTTCTACTTGGGTGACATCTCCGAGGTGCCTTGTTATTGTACTCTCTTTTTTTTTTCTTTTTTTTAAAAGGATAAGTTGCTCTATTATCTCAAACTAAATCCCTTTATCCCTAATTGGGATATGAGAATCCAAATTCTGGGGAGCGGGTATGAAGAAGTTTGTGACTGGCCATGCAACATACACTGCATCAATAGTGTATTTAAGACTACTTGGTATATAAATGGCCCAAATTGTGTTACATTTACTTTTTGGGCTATAGCTCTATTTTCTATTATCTGTGGAAATCTCATATGTTAAGGAATTACCATTGATATTTAATGGTAGAAAATTGTTATGCAGCCCCAATACAATGAGATTGTGATTGACATTTAAGAGCAGGAAATCAGTGATTGATTTCACTTGTCTATTAGGCGTAAGTTTTTTAATTAATTAGGTGTAGTTAATTGCTTGATTTGTTTCTTTTTTTAGTAGATCCTTGTACTATAAAATGGGAGAGATCTGTACAACTCTGTAATAATCAGAAAAAATTAAGATTTCAATTATGTTTTCAATCTTAAGATCCATCCTAACTTTATTAATAATATCTACATGTAGAAGATGCAATAGGTAACTTGTGGATATAGAAGTTATCTGTCTTTTAATATCTTTATTTATGTTAGGTACTACAGTTTTACTTCTAAAAGTTTATCTGTGCTCCAACTTCACATGGTTAATATGTTATTTAGTCATCTTTTCTCATTGTTTAGTTCTCTTTTGTTGTTCAGGAAATACTTGTTGTTCGCAACATCCATCCTTCTTTGCCATCTTTTAAGGCAGAATTTACTGCATCTGTTCCTCTAACTCGAATAAGAGACATTGCCCATCGGAATGATATTCCACATGACCTCAAGGTTATACTAAATGAAGCACTCGCTGAATTATCAAGACAATTATGAAATCTTTGCTAATAGATACTCATTTTTCACATTCCAGCAAGAGATCAAACATACAATACAAAACAAGCTTCATAGAAATGCTGGTCCAGAAGATTTAGTTGCTACGGAAGCAATGCTCGCAAGAATCACTAAGAATCCTGGAGATTATAGTGAAGCATTTGTGGAGCAGTTCAAGATATTTCACAGTGAACTCAAGGACTTCTTCAATGCTGGAAGGTAGAATAGTCGTGTAGATCAGTATATATAATTTTCCACTTTGCTTGTTTTGGCATAAGCTCTTAGAATGATTTGAACAATTTTACTTTTGGTGGAAAAAGAAATTTTTCCGTATTAATCAAAAACTTTCCATCCAGCTACAGTCAAACTAATGTACTTTTTTACTCTATTTAGCAGATTGAGATTTATGCAAGATGTTCAAGTTTTAAAATTTTAGTCTGCTAATTGTGTTATGTTGATATCATTTGTTCTAAATATGGAATGTAACTGTTTTATTTATATCCTTTTTAATTAGTAAACAACTGCAAATTGGTTGACTGTCGGTTCATGCGGTTGCAGCTAACTGAACAACTTGAATCTGTTAGAGAATCTTTAGATGAAAGGGGCATGTCCACTCTATCACTGTTTCTGGAATGCAAAAAGGTATATAATAATTAGCATAATCTAGACTTGGCAATGATTATGCTGTATGATGTAATCTTAATTCCTGCAATTTTCAATTCCTATAAAGAATTTTTTAGAGAGAATGTAATGACTATGGGGAACCTACCACAAATGATCTTTTAACAACTAGTTTTGATTGTCTAATAATAACTTTATAGTTTTTTTTTTTTTTGGAGGGGGGGAGGGGGGCAGGGCTCAAAGTTAGCTTGTGGGGGCTTTGAGATGATCCTCTGCAAAAGTTTACTTAGAGTATCCCTCCACCTATCTAGTGTTTGATGTATTGGAAAGCATCAGAAATCTAGGTTTTTGACAGTTGCACCTTCTAATCCCTCTTTCCTGCCATCTGTACAAGAGGCTACTTTGTATAGGAATGTTGAGTTGAGAATTGCAGCTTCAGGATAAACTCTATGGTGTTGTTAAAGAAAGTTGATATGATGAGCTGACATTCCTTTGGATGCTTAGCTCACTTTTCTCGGCTGTATAATCGATTGGTAAGTGAGGAAAAGGTGAATCGAGCCTATTAAGTTATGTGAATCAGATGATAATCAAGAGATATGGATGTTTCACCACACCTTTCCTTCTACTACGTGCCTTTCTCGGTTGCATGGTGATCCATTTGGAAGTAACGAAAAGGCAAATCATGCCCTATTAAGTCATCTAAATGGGAGGATGATCAAGTGACAGTGATATGTTGCCACACTTTAAAGGGAAAAAAGAAATAAATAAAAAGACATGAAAAGTAAAAAGTGAAACTAATATCTTTTCTCATGCACTATACTGGGTTAAAGTTGTAAAACAATTATTTGCATATGTGATTGTGTTCTGCACATTATTTGCATATGCCTATTAGTCTTGTGGGTTGTTTGTATAAACTAATATCGAAGGTTTTGGCTAG